GTAAATATCTCAAGCGAAGGTTGAGAGAGAGGGATGGTGAAAGGGGCATGATGACTCTGAATTTCAATAGAGTAGCAACTTATGTAATAGACCTAGAGTCCTCATTTATATATATAATTACTCTAATAAAAGAAAAATAAACATACAGAAATATTCATGAGATGACACAATTGTTTTGACACCAACAATGGTGTACTTGAAATCTTGGCTAACAATAAAGCCAATGGTTTTCATGTAAAATTTATACATAGGGGTGTATATAATGTGAATATTGTTCCTATAGCAATTTTTTTTTTTATCTATTTATGATTTTTCATTATCAATAAAATTTTTTATGAATCATATAATTTTTGTTTTAGGCTACGTATGACTTATGTTAATTTGAAGATATTTAGCTAATATAAATTAATAATATAAAAACAAATGTATTGAATGAGGTCATACACTTTAGAGTGAATTGTACTCTTAAATAAATGTCTTTAATTAACTAAATAAATATAACACTGTCGTGCTAAAATTGAAGAGCGTGATGAAACCAAAGTTATTAAAATTAGACGTACTCCCTAATAAAGAATATACACATGCAACATTAAACATTAAATCACATCCATTATTACAATACCTTTAATTTAACATATTTAATTTGGGTTTAATATTTCTCATATTATAGTAGATGAATTTTATCTGTAATGCAAAAAAAAAGATGAATTTTATCTTTTACATACACGTAAAAATATGTAGAGCTCATATAAGCTAATATGAGAAGAAGAGAATGAAAAAAAAAATATAAACCTAACATGTTTTTATGTGTGTGTAGGAAAAAAATTCATCTTCTACAACATAAAAAAAGTTAAAGCATGCAATTTAACTAATGAATCATTGATTAAAGACGGAATTGAAGACCAACCCGAGTTTATAGAATAACATTTGGATTATACTATTTGGCAGAAACAAAAATGTTGCTGGTTTTTGAATTATTCGGTGATAAATATATATCTCATTGAATGATTGAATTCAATGAGCTCACATACTAGTTACAAATGGAGAAGTCATTCTCATTCAATATAATTATTTGACTAAATATCTTTTTTGGTCCTCAGCAAATTTCATGATGCCTGTTTTAGTCCCTAGCAAATAAAAAGATTCATTGTGGTCCCTAAGAAATTCAAAATGGACCCATTTAGTTGAAATCGTGGTCCCTCACAAATTCAAAAAAGACCGGACTAATATGGGTCTTTTTTGAATTTGTGAGGGACCACGATGAGACTTTTTATTTGCTAGGGACTAAAGCGGATATCGTGAAATTTGCTGAAGACCAAAAATGATATTTACTCTAATTATTTTATTACCCTTAAATTCACGTAGCTGAAACGCGAAGCAATGTGCATCCTTTTATACCTTAGGGGAGTTTGATAGAGGAGATATTGTTTTTATTAGGAAAATACAATTATTAGTAATATGATAAGAAAGTGAGTTTGGTAGGAAAGTTAAAAAAAGGTTGTTTGGTTGGTAAAAATTTTATCAGAAAAATTGAATTAAATTTTATGAGTCTTTGTTTGGTTGAAGGTGAAATAATAATGGGTAAATGTATTGAAATACCGAAAATAACCCTTGATATTTTAGAGATGTAGACATGTGTACTTAGAAGAGTGTAATATGGTAACACTCTTCATTCACCTTTTTGCATTTTAGCTATTTTTTTAGAAGGGTTTTATTAATCTCATGTTGATGGAGATAAGTTATCTCATATCATAGAGATAAACTTGTGGGCTCCACCACCTGAAAAATAAAAAGAAAAGAAAAGAAAAAGGTGGCACAGTTATCAAATGGTGTGTAGGAGAGAAATTTATCACATATAACATAAGAGTAATTTTTCCCTTTCTAGAAATACCACATCCTAAGTGGTAAAATTTTACCATGATTTGTTTTTGATTTTGCACATGCTCATCAAAAGATAGAAAAAAGAGAAGCATGACTAATTTTTTTTAATGTTTCTACCAAACTAAACAATCATAAAATGTCACTTGAAGATGGATGGGAACCAAATCAAAAAACCTGAAGCAAAAGCCCCAATTGAGATTGCAAGGTACCCATCTTGCTGAGTCACATGTAAGTACTGTTTGGGTGGATATGTGGCAGTGAAAACTGAAAAGTGTTCATTTGAACACAGCTTGCTAAAGCACTTAACTTGGACCAGAATAATTTTTCTTTAAGAAGTAAAATGGGACCACTGAAGCAAAACACAATACCTGACTTGTGTTTCATATGTACGTATGCAACCTTATGCCTTTCACATCAATCATTGCCTCACACAGTGTAGTAGTATAGCCTTAAGTTAAAAATGTCTAAGGATGACACGCATTTATTTGACTGCAAATGTGATACTTTTCTTTCACTTTCACTCATTCACATGTTGCTCTTCTTCCACAAGATAGTGATTCCTCTACAATATATTAGTGACACCATGTTGTGGAGGGCCTTTTATCATCCCTCTACAATATATTATTGGTTATGTAGTTAAGTGCTTTTCCCTCTCCTATTAATAATGTTTGGACACGGTTTCTAGGCTTCACTCTTCATCAATATCCATAGGTGAGATTAATCTTCCATACCAAAGACATAATTGAATAATTAAAATAGACTGGGGGTATTGTGGACTGTAAGAAAATTGATATGGTGTCCAGTCAGTTTCTTTGACTATCCAGCTAGCCTACTGGATAGGTTAATAGCTAAATCTCATTAGATAAATATATAAAAATTAAATTTAGTAATTTACTCTCTTTTTTAGTAGGTATATACTTTTTTAATTTATGCAATTCAATGATGTGAAATATTTTAAAAGAATAATGCTTTGAGAATATATCTTAATGTACATCACAGTTCAATGAGACAATAGGATGAGAACGGAAATATATAAGAAAATATGGTAGAATTAATTATAATTATATATATATATATATATATATATATATATATATGGGGCAGGATATTCTTACACTGGTGTAAGAGTTAGAAGTCTTACACTCAATCTTGACCATTGATCCACTTGTATCCAGTGGCTCACATTACTAAAAAATATGAACTCTTAGATGTAAATGGTATCAGTGGACAAGATTAAGAGTGTAACTTACACTGGTGTAAAATGATCCTAATCCTATATATATATATAATTATACATGGAAAAATATTTTTCCAATCATATGAGATAAAGTTTACTTATCTTTTGCAATATGATTTTTTTTTCAAAATATCTTAATTTTTTTCCTAAATATCAAAATGTTATTTTAGAATTACAGGATATACAGACGTGATAGAAAAAATATGACTTCGTTGTTCAATATGAGTGTTTTTTTTTTCAGTCTATTCAAATTATCACACTTAATTTTAAATTTATAATACTTTTTTTTTATAAATTTATAGAGAAATACATTTCTGATATTGAATAAAACACATAAAAAAGAGTGAGATTCATTAAAAAAAAAAAAGAGAAAACAAAAAAATGAATCTTACTTACTTTTTTATATATATGTGAAACAATTTGTCTCGTTAAAAAATGAGAAGTATATTTTCCAAATTTATATCTTAATAACTTCGCTTATATATTACTTATTTTTCACATATATATTATTTTATTTTGAATCAGCACTTTTGAATATCTTCAAGATCACACTGATTACTTGTCTCGTGTAAGGAAAATATCAAGAGTTATATTAGTATTTGTACATCCTCATTTCTTCAAATTGATGTTTGATTATAAAATGACAACAAAATTGAAGTCTTTTGTTTGGAAAATCATTTTCTTTCACATTCTTTAATTTGATTTCACATGTGAGACATGCCATTTAAACTTTTCCGGTTATATGTCATGGGTGTGAAGAAGTCTCAAGAATAATAAATAATTATGTTGGACATAAAATTCTTTACATTCTTTTCTTGTTAATTAAGGATTGATGCTTTCTTATAGATAAACTGTTAACAAATCATTTATTTATTAAACAATGTATTTAGTAAAAAAATAAAGAGACTTATTAATCACATATTATTGAAGATATCTTATGTTATATCATAAAGATAAATATACGAGTCCTTTTTATTTTATTTTTGTTTTTTTAATAAAGATGAGTTCCACATATTTATTTTTAATGATATAAAATAAGGAGGAAAATTATATGTACAAAACTTTTTTTTTACAATCATATCTTAACATCGTTGATTTCTGCCAATTAACTGTTATGATTTTCGCAAATTAAATTCATTAATTAATTATTAATTTCCAATAAATGATAACTGTTGATTGGCGGAAATCAACATTGTTAAGATATGATTGTAAGAAGTTATAAAAAAAAAGTAATAAGTATAACCTTCCTCTAAAATAAGATATCTCCAATGAGATCAAATTTTTTTTTTTCAAAAATGAATAATATAAACAGTTAAAATATAATAAAGAAGAAGAAGGGTAAACAGAAAAGGGAAGAGACGAAGAGGATGAAAGATATTGAATACTAAAAAGAGGAGGGTGTGGGGATGGAAGAAATTTAAGGAAACAGCAAAGAAAGTTTCTATTTTGATGCCTTCTCTTTTACTGTATGCAATGTGAGTCATGTCACTTCCCATCACCTACCACTGATAATTCCATGCCTTCTTATTAGCCCCACCATTTACTTCTCCTCAGAATTTCATGTGCCTCTTGTGCTCTCCAATTCCCTCCAACTGCACATCAGGGCCAGCTCAGTGCCTTTTCTGTCACATCCTCTCTTTCTGTTGCTTACTGAGGAGGGGGGAAGGGAAGTGTGTTTGTGAGGATTTCAGAAGTTCCTTTTCAGATTGAAAACAGATACCCATTTGAGCTGTTGAGAAAACCCAGAATGCAAAATCTCACATTGGTAAGATTTTCACAATGGGTTTGAACTTGGGGTGTTCCAATGCCTTCACATCCAATAGGTTTTTGGGAGCGTAAGAGATCTAGTCTTTAAGTTGCTTCAGGGTCTGAAAAGAAGAAATCTGTCAAGGATTTGGGTTGTGAAAAGGTATTAGCTGTCCAAATAATTGTTTCCTTTTTTCAGATAATGTAATTTTATTTTTTTTAATCTCTGCTATGTTGCTGGTAAAAATCAAGGAGATGTTAACAAATGATGGTCTTTTTATTCTTTTTCACATTGATCGTCTAGCAACTTGGCTCAATCATTTTGGGTTGGCTAAATTTGAAATTTTATTGGAATTATTTTTACTGTGTACAAAAAGAAGTCAAGTGTTACATAAAATTCAATTTTCTTTGTTTTTACATAAAAATCAATTTTCTTTGTTTTTATGCTCTTTTGGCCTCTTACGATTTTCTATTTTCCATTAAGTTTGAAGTCAATTTTTTACGCTTTTGCATTCACAAGTCTGGTTCACATGTGCTTGACTTGTTAGGATGTGAATACTAGACCAAAATGCGGTTTTGATTTCAGGGAAATGAACTTCTGTTGGTATGTAACCAGCCTTTGTTTTTTTCAGTTACTTCTGTATTTAACAAAGGTAATTTTGTTTGTAACTGAAATTTGGGATGGCTGGGTATGTGATTAACTTTCTCAAACCTGGTGCAGGATGTGAGGAATCCAGTTGAAGAGTTGAATGTCATAACTCATAACAATAGATAGTTTAGTCAAATGATTAATTTTGCAACTTGATTTGTTGTATGCATCAGAGTGCCTTCTTTTATTTTAACACTGACTTTTGCAAATTTATTTGGCAGCAGCAAAATGGCTTCTGATCTGAATTCTGGTTTGTCGAAGAAGACGTTTGTTTTTGGATTGAAAGTATGGGTATTAATGGGAATAATAGTTGGTTTGTTCATTATAATCATTCTTGTGGTGCTATCAATTTGTCTTACCTTGAGAAAGAAGTCCAGAAGAGTCAATGGGAAGCTTTCACTTAGCCATATGCTATCTGTTTCAGAAGAGATCAAAGAAATAAGAGTTGATCAAGTTTCAGCAAATAATCATCCGCAAAACGGTGCTTTTATTAGTCTGAATGACAAATTTGGTGACAGAGAGTCTGAAAAGGTTTTCATCCAAACAAAGAATGGGGATAATAGTTCTCAATCTGGCTCATTTAATCATTTAGAGAAAGATGCTAATGGCTCTCAATCAGGTGAAGAAGGCGGTGTTAAGAACTTTTCTGCTTACCGGTCTTCTTCGCATCCTATAACTGCGCCATCGCCTTTGTCTGGCCTGCCTGAGTTCTCTCACCTTGGCTGGGGACATTGGTTTACATTGAGGGACCTGGAACTTGCAACAAACAGGTTTTCAAAAGACAATGTTATTGGTGAAGGTGGATATGGAATTGTGTATCGAGGTCAGCTAATCAATGGGAGTCCTGTGGCCGTTAAGAAGCTCCTCAATAATTTGTATGTTGTCCTTAGCTTGTTAAGTTGCATTGACAACTTTATTTTTATTTTAAATTTTAAACTAGGTTTCTAATGTCTTGTTTTATGTTTTATTAGGATGTCTACAAATGATGCTAGTTTATCTAATAACTGTTGATACTCATCATGCAGAGGACAAGCTGAAAAGGAATTTAGGGTGGAAGTTGAGGCTATCGGTCATGTGCGGCATAAGAACTTGGTTAGACTTTTGGGCTATTGCATTGAGGGAACTCACAGGTAACAAATTGTTTAGTGTTCGCACTTTATGTGTGTGTTTGATTGTTTGTGTCTCTACTTCTTGATTTGATCATACTGACAGCTTAAAGTCTTGTGGTTTATGTCTCCATTATTATCATCAACTTAAAACTCTGTTAACTGCTTGAAAAATTAAGTCCAAAAGTATTTTTAGCATGGAATTTCTTGGTGAAGGATGTATATGGCTTTATATCACTATTGCATTTGCTTACCAATCTTTAAGTACTGGTCTGTATTATTTTCTGATTTCACTCTTATGGAACCTGCTATTAATTTCAGGTTATTGGTTTATGAGTATGTTAACAATGGGAATTTAGAGCAGTGGCTTCACGGAGCCATGCGGCAGCATGGCTTTCTTACTTGGGATGCTCGAATAAAAATTCTCCTTGGAACAGCTAAAGCGTATGCTCATTTTTTTCCTGAAAAAAAAAAAAAAAAACTAATTTACTAGTTGTCCGAATATATTTTTTTGGGTGAGTTTCGTTTTGATCTAAGATTATTATATCTTGTAGGCTGGCTTACTTGCATGAGGCAATTGAGCCAAAAGTTGTGCATCGAGATATTAAGTCAAGCAATATTCTAATTGATGATGAGTTTAATGCCAAAATATCTGACTTTGGGCTGGCTAAGTTGCTGGGCGCTGGAAAAAGTCATATCACAACTAGAGTAATGGGTACTTTTGGGTAAGCTTCTTGTTTACTAATTTAGGACTTGTTTGTTTTCTGTTTAAGAATTAGTTTTCTTTATAAATGGTCACCTAGTTAGGCACCGTGAGGTATACATGTTTTGTATTTTTTATTTTTTAAACTGCGAATTGAGATGTTATTTAATTAATCCTTTAAGCTTAATTTTCTTCAGTGATCTCATGCCCATAGTCCAGTCATGATTACAATTTACAATATATGCAATATCAAAAATAAATAACAAGTGGTTCTTTTTATCTCAGCAATTTATGATGAGTCTGCCAAAACATAGCAGATATTCATTTGCACACAAAAATTGAGAGTTGGCCTCATAATTCCTTAAGACTAATAATATATGCAGAGAAATCATAGCTGTCTCAAGTTGGCTTCTTCTTTTCATGCTTGCATTGCATTTTTCAGATATGTGGCTCCAGAGTATGCCAATTCTGGCTTACTAAACGAAAAGAATGTTCAAATGATTCATTTTGCTTAAAATATTTATGATAAATTGTCACCTCTAAATTTTAATTTGACCATGTCATAGCAGACATTCATTTGCTCTCCAAAATTGACAAAGTTGACCTTTTTGTTCTTTAGACATAATTTTATAGAAATTGAAACTGCCTTTAGCTTGCTCATTCTTATTTTCATGCTTGCATTGCAATTTTCCAGATATGTAGCTCCAGAATATGCCAATTCTGGCTTGCTAAGCGAGAAGAGTGATGTTTACAGCTTTGGGGTATTGCTCCTTGAAGCAATCACAGGAAGAGACCCAGTGGATTATAGCCGACCAGCAGCTGAGGTGTGTCATTGGTTTTTTGTAAAGATTATAACGAATCTGATGTACTTGTATTTATGTATATTCATTCTCTTTAGTAGTCTATGCCTTAATTTGAATTATGAACTTTTTAAGAATGGAATACATAGAAAATCTCTCTTGGGGTACACGACAAACTATATTAATTTCATAATTTTCATTCTATTCCTACAGTTTTGACTCATTATAGTCTTTAGACTTTCTTTAATACTATGGAGTGGTTGTAGGTGAATTTGGTTGACTGGCTCAAGATGATGGTAGGGTGTAGGCGCTCAGAAGAGGTGGTGGACCCCAACATTGAGACTAGGCCATCAACAAGTGCCCTTAAACGATCCCTTTTAACTGCTTTGAGGTGTGTTGATCCAGATGCTGAAAAAAGACCAAAGATGAGCCAAGTTGTCCGCATGCTTGAATCAGAGGAATATCCTATACCTCGAGAGGTTTGACTTCTGATTCTTATATCTTAACATCACAATGTGTTACCAATTTAGCATGGCATTGCTTTTGTTAAATAACATTTGGTTGGCACAATGGTTTGTGTTGTCACCATGTGATTTGAAAGTCACAAGTTCAATTCATGTTATTGGCCTTTTTCTAAATGCAAGGTAGCACTGGTTATTATAGACTAACACAATGAGTCTACCCTTTCATGGACCTTGCATATAGCGAGAGTACTTTTTTATCGATTATTCAACTAGTCCAGTTCAAGCACTGTTTAGACCCATATATATGGGGGTGATCTCCTAAGACTATCTAGATTGTCCTTTTTTTAACATACGATTCCTTGCAACAACATTTAAAAAGGTAAAACAAAAGGCAGGGAAGAGAAAGGGAGTGGCAAAAACTACATTTGCAGCATTCCTTGAAAGTAACTTATTCCATTTGAAAATTTACATTTGGTGGTGTTTGGAAATGTGATGTTTCAAGCCATCAGGAGTGGGTTAGTGGTAAGGGGTTTGTGAGATTTGCATGAGGTTATTATTGATTGGAACCTCAATGTCATGATTGTGTAAAAAAAAAATGTTATGTTTCTCAAACGTTGAGGGTGACATTTCAGGATCGAAGACGCCGACTGAGTCAGGCAGGGAACATAGAGGTGGAGGCCCAGAGGGAGACTTCTGATACAGATAAGAGTGACAATCCAGATTATAAGCCCAACCCCAAATCCAATGGCAGAAGGAACCAACACATGTAGTATTTCCAGGATAAGGAACATAACTGAACTGGCAAATTTTGCAATCTTTTGAGCTTCTGTGAAAGTTCTGATGCCTGCCACATTTTACATCAAAGACTTGGAGCAGGAACCAGTTACTTTTGGATGGTTTATTGTATACCCTTCTATTGTTATAGCTTAGCTATAGATGTTAGAAAATGTAGATTATTGTTTACGAATATGGGATTGAAAAACTCCCTTGCAATATTGGTGGTGTGTGTACAGTTCATTACTATTCCTTCTTTTTCTCTGTTCATTTGTTTCATTGTCATCAAGGAACTGCCCTTGCTTTCTACAATACAACCACTTTTGTTACCAAATTAAGCAGTAGAACTGCTTCACATCCCAGGGAAAAATATTAACGATTTTTAATACTAGAAATCATTAATATTAAAAATCATTTATTCTTTTTTAACTTATTTGCATCCAAAAAATACATTGAAAAATGTTTTTGAACACTTATTATTAAAAGTAAGTGCTTATTTTAAAAAATAAGCCAATCCAAACTCCTCCTAAACTTTAGAAGTTCAATATTTGCTGCTACAGGAGCAAGCTATTTAACCAGCAACTCTGGAATTGTCTTGGATAAGTGGTAGGTAAGCAGTGATCCCTCAATGTTAACTTCTACCAAATAAGGCGTGGCAACAAGCCCTTCAATTGTATCTTTAAGCCACTCGGATTTCGGGTTGTTTGCCACTTTTCCTCCACAACAGTAATAGCAGCCGTGATGTACACAAGTTCATAAATTTATAAGATTAATTTTTTTTTTTTAGTAGATAAAGTTGTGGCAGGAGAAACACCTGTATGTAACTCACCAGGGCCAGGGCAGACCTGTTCAACCTCTATAAAGATTTACGCCAGGGACAGTGGAAAGAAAGCTCGCTTTACAGTTTATCCACCAATATGAGCCTCAAAACAGCAAGAGGAAATCAAACCTACGCCTTTTTGGGATATGGGTCGACTACTTAGCCACCTGTGCCCCCGCATGTTGGCTAAGATTAATTATTTCAATTAGAAATGTAAGTAGAATAAACATTATCCTATGTTAGAAGTGTTGTATACTTTGAAGCATCTCATGTGGAGCATTATTCGAAACATTGTCTGTTGCATATAAGTCATATTTTGAATAATGAACATCAGCAATCTTTGGAACATAATCATAAAAAATGATTGTGTTGCTGGATTTGATGTAACAAACGACAAGTTGAGGTTCTTCTTTTTCATGTTGATATTGGTACCCCAAAAGCAACTTTCATTTTCTGCTCATGACAAAACTGGACTGAGACCCGCTTTACACCTCACATTTAAATAAACAATATATTTAATTCTTTTATTAATAAAGTCAACTATATATTGATTGATATTGAATAATTTAATATTTATTTTACATATATATTTTTAATTTATGCAAGACTTGGATTAATTTTAAGATTTTTTTTTTTTTTTTGTACGACATCAGTGATACAGATCTTCAAACGAAACAACAGACATGGAATTATTCTGAGCGAAACAATGTTCAAGAAAAGGTGTCAAATATTGAACAAAAGCCAACCAATAATTCAAGTGAACAAAGTGTGTATGCATAATAAATTAATATCATCAAATTAATAGGGCACATATAGTAAACACATACTCTTAGTTGATAAATTTTAATAATCAAAGATCTCAGTCAGTAGGTCCATGTATTATTCATAAACAAATCTTCAAGTAAACGGAGCTAGAAAGCTAGACCTTCAAAGCAAAATGAAGATGTGTTCTATGATATAGTTGTCAACAACTTTCTTTGATCTCCTTATCCTGAAGCTGAAGGTACTTCTCCTTTTCCTCAATGGTCATGAAGGCAGTGACAGGAAAGGACTTACCAATCCCCATAGGAGTTTTGAAGAATATCTTCTTTCCCTTAGGACCATCAATGCTCATCTCAGTTACTGGCACCCAAAGAAACATTTGCTTGCTCTTAATGCCACTCATCTTCTTCATCTTGAACTTCTCCACATATGCAGTAACCTCCACTGCATAACTCACCAAGGTCTTGGTACCCTCAAAGAAATGCTCGCTTGGGGACTTTTGCTTCGTCCACACGAACCCAGTTTCTCTAACTCTGCCACACTCCACAAGGTCTTGCAATGGAAGGACCCCTTTGGGGAAACCAAGCTCTTCTAAGAGCTCTATGGAGTGACGGTAGCATTCTTCAGAGCCATGCACTATCTCTGCCCCTGCACGCTCGTTTACCAGTGTGCTGCTGCTTGCCATTTCAAGAAAACAGAATATGTTAATTTGGGACATATCATAATGTAATATATAGCCTCCAAAAAATTAGGGTCTTCATTAGAAGGAAAGTTGGTGATGCTTACTTGGGAGTTGAGCAATCTGGGCTAGTTTGAATGTGGTGGTTCAACCAATTTCGATTACCATTATATGCAAGCACGTGTAAGATAAATCATGTAACATGAGATAACCCGAGACATATAGCTCCTCTATAAAAAAAATCAACGGTTGTGAAAAATGTGTCAAGATAGAGAACGAAGAAATGATAATCATTGATTTATTTATAAATAATTGAAATCATCTCAGATAATCTCATGTCACACGAGAACAGTGACGGACCCAAGCAATTTTATTTATGTCTGCATATTTAGAGATGAGATTCGGCGGCAATGCCCTCGAATTTTGTTTTTAAAAAAAGTTTTAAATGTATTACAAAACAAAAAGAATATAAATAAAAAAAAAAATTGGAACTTACTACAAAAATAAAATACCTTTTGAGTCCTCAACAAAAATCACGGGATCCAATTTAACCCCATAGAAAAAAAGTGACTCGTGATTTCTCTGAATTTCAAAATAGACCCATGTTAGTCTTTTTGAGGGACTAATGTAGGTCTTTTTTGAATTTCAGAGGAACCACAATTTTGACTAACCGGGTCTATTTTAGAATTCAGAGGGACCGAGAGTCGACTTTTTTTTTTTCTAAGAGATTAAATTGTGCCGTGTAATTTTAATTTTTATTAAGGACACAAAATATACTCTCTCTTTTTCCCCCAAAAATTTGTGTGTGAACTTACACACACTTGCACCAATACAAGTCCTCCCCTGCAGGAGAGGATACATCCTCTATGTATGTATGTATTAGTTGTGGAGTTTCTTCCTTTTAGAAAAAGAAGAAAATTCTGAGTCTAGATGTTAGACTAAGGAAGTTATGACATAGTTAGGTGGATTTCGTCAGTTGAAGCAATGTAGTTTTCGTGTCTTTTGGTAGTGGGGTACGTAGGGGTAGGTATGAATTTGGAGTGTGAACAAATTCGGATCTTGTTCATCTATGCTATCTTAATCAACATTTGTTGCTGTTTCATTGGACTCATTGGAGGGATCAAGACCTTTTAGTAGTTCAGATTTCCTCTCAAAACTTGTTATCTTTGTTAAAAGCTGATTATTTCACAAACAAGTGTCCAATTACACCAATCAAGTATTTACAGTAATCACAATTCTACATTACTTCATCAGGCCCTGGCCCTGCAAAGCATATTGGTGCTCAATAGTTTGATTGTTCGTCTGTGAGATCCATATCAATATAACGTCCAAAACCAATTTCTCCATATTTTAACTTACAAATAGCACTATCTGTGACAAAAAAATTCCCTTGTTTTCGTGTCTTCTTGGGTGAACTAAGGTGCGTTTGGGAGAAGGATTATATTTGTGTTCCTGGGAAACGCTGGTTGGACTAATATGAATGCTACATTTGGTAGCTTAAAATGACCAACTTTCCAGAGTTGAAATGTTTTCCAAAAAGCTTATGATGGTGTGGTCTAGTTCTTATTTTTAAAATTTTTTGTTTCAAATACTGGGTTGTAAAAAAATTAAAGAAATTGTATTTTTTTTAGTACAATAAAGAAATTGTAACCAGCTCTATTCTTAACTAGAGTATTTCATGTTTTAATTGGAATCTAATGCCTTTTTATTAAATGAGATTTTATACAAGTCCAAGCCTGGTTCTAACAATCAATTTTAGATATATAGAATTTGTTCTTGTTCGAAAAAATCAGTACGGCTCCCATCACAAAAATTCCATAGATTATATGGAAAAATTTGCTGCTCGGGCAAGTGGAAGCTGACCCGCGAAATGTTGAACCAAATTATCCTTGCTAATTGTACAACCGTAAGCATAGCATTTGTTGGTCCCTCCCTCTAGTTGATAAAGTAGGGGTTATTTTGGTAAAATAACATCATATTTCCACTAATATTTAACAATTAACCAAACATACACTCAATAATTTTAACCATAAATTCCCGAGTAAATTTGGTCATACCAAACACCTTTTACTACCATTTCATTAAAAATATATTTCCTACTATATTCCGGTAATAATTATTTTCGAGATATATAAAAATTTCTCTTCTACCAAACACCCTCAGTAGACTATTCTATGTCCCACATTATCGTCGCACTCTAACCTTAGAGATACTAAAGTTAGTGTGAATTGAGCTACAAAATCGTTGAAAACTTGATGTTTAATTATGCTTCAATTTTCCTGTATTTTGCATATCAAATCAATCACACATTAATTATTTTTAACAATTCTAATATGGAACCTAGATAAATAATTGTTTTATTGAAAGATCAAGACATTGTTTTGCATCGAGGAATTTCTAAATTAATATATTAATTCCTTATATGGCACTTACTAGAGCAACTCTCTTCTATCCAAAAAAAAAAAAAAAAGAGCAACTCTCTAACCTGTTTTTTAGGGGTGTTAGGTGGTCGATCATTTTGGGACCAGCTGAACTTTAAGCTTTCTAAATGAGCTTATATATTGGGCTCAAACTTAAACCACAATCTATTATAAAGTTAGGACAAGTCAGTTTTCACTTCTTGTTTTGGACTTTGTAATGTGTACCCCTTAAACAACTATACAATATTAACCCTAACATAGTATCAAAATCTTTACGACAAAATGATCTCTATAAGCTTTTATCGGAGTTAATCTTTGATATATCCCATTTAAAAAAGCCAAGAATAATTGTATGCATTCCCTGTGAAACAGGATAGCTTCAGTAAAAAAAAAACACTCAATAATTTTAGCGCACTGACATTAGGTCAAATTTAAGCTGTTATTATATGCACAAACTCCAGAACTAATAACAAAGGAAATTAATTGGAAATATATAACGGGTAAGGAAGTTTTATGGGTGATATCATGATATAATTCAAAAGGCTTGCATTGAAAAACAAACTATTTAATTTTTAAAATAAAGTGAAATACACTAGATCTAACTGCAAATCTCTTTGCAATAAATAAATTAGAAAATGAGAACAAGATCAACACATACAATGACAAAGCACAAAGTCAGTGTGTAAATATATAATGGAGATATTTATAATTTCATGCATGATTGATATGATCCTAATCTATACAGCTTTTTTCTCATTCAATATTACTTCGTGCAGGGTTAACTGTTTGTAAGTGCAGATACAACCTCCACAGGATCCTTTGAATTTTTCCATGATACGATGTATGATATTATAAATGTTAAAAAAAAAGTGATGACTTAGCAGTTAATAAAGAAGTTTGAGTCTGCAATGCAAGAGGTTGAAATATATATATGGAAAAGTATTTGTAAAAAGAAATACCCTTTATACTAAATCAAGATTAGTTTCATATCAAAAGTATAAGAACCAACATAAGACAAGAAAGAAAAAACACTTTAGCCCGTATAAAATTGGAAATAACGTTGTAGGTCAAAGTCATTATTGAATTATTTGATGTGTTCAGTGGCCAGAGTCAATAAACTATTAATCGTGGGCCGGTGTTTGGTTGACCGAAGAATTCGAGAATAACCAAAATAAGGGGAAAACAATAGTAATATTTTTTTCCCACTAGCCTTTTTTTTAATGGTTTTCGTACCATAATTTCAATTATTTTTTTTGTTGCGTTTTTCTAAATGTCAATTGACCAAACTTGTGAGACTTACATGATTGGTTTATCAGTGTTCTTTAATGGTAGAAGACTTGGATTCGACTACTCTTTCTTATATTTCTAGTTTAAAAATTTTGTACGTTAATATGATATATGAAGAATTTTAAATTTTTGTGTAAATACTTTTTTTAGTCCCTGACAATATCCATGAAGCCTTTTTCAGTGCCTAGCAATAAAAAAGGTACAAATTGGTCCGTGAAATAACAAAAAAGAGGTCACGTTCATCCTTATGTTAACTCTCACCTAACGACCCAACTAACGGTGCACAGTTGACACGTTAGTTTGCTGACGCAGCTTGGATGTGGAACACCGTGGAAGATGAGATGACGACGTTTTGGTCCCTGTTAAAACCACGAGGGTCATTTTGGTCCCTGTCAAAATGCACGAGAACGTTTTTAGTCCCTGACAAAAAGCACGGGGCCCTTATTGGTCCCTAACCAGAGAAAAATAGGCACATGACTTCATTGCTTTTTTATGCAGTCCAATTTTGCAAAACAGAAGTGCATTACATCAGAAACAGGAGTGCAATCCATTTGTTCATCACAAAGTAATTAAACTAAATTTCATCACAAAGTAAAATACTCCTTCTTGACATTTTATTTCATGCACTACTCCCAGGTCATATACAACAGCAGGTCATTTTCTTGAGGCAGGCCTTGGTGGCCTAAAACCAGGTGTGCTCATGAAGGCCAATAATCTGCTTCGTGTGCCACTAGTTGCTGCATTCATTGTTTCATTATTCAACAGCTCATTTGCCTGTTGTGGATTTGGTGGAGGTGGGCTGCTTCCTCTCAAGTTGCCTTCATGTCGCTGAGAACTACCAACTGCTGCAGTCCAGTCAACTGTCATGCATTGCAATTATCAACAATCATTTACATGGCTTCTTCTCTGATTTTTCTCAGTATTTAAATATCAACAATCATGCAATTATCTTTTATAGAAAAATAAATAGTATAATTGTAATGGTACACTACTGAAGATATTATTCGTAAATCGCATAACGCTATGTCTTATACAGACTAAGAGAATTAAATCAGTTCATAGTATTCTAGGGATCGTAAAAGCTGTTTGCAAGAGTCAAGAATCCCTTTTAACAAAATGGAAAGCTTAATTAGCATTGAAAAAGAAATGAATAATCGTTAATAAGGTCGAAACTTCAGTTAGAAACACAAACTTCATTGAAATAAAATGCCAAGAAGGAGTATTTTACTTTGTGATGAAATTTAGTTTAATTACTTTGTGATGAACAAATGGATTGCACTCCTGTTTCTGATGTAATGCACTTC